GTTTTTTGTAATGTATTAAATGCAGATGCATGCACTGTTTTGGATTTTACTAGTTGCATGTTTTTCCGTTATCATTACTCGCATGGTTTTTGCTGACCTCACTTGCTATTGCATGCTTTTTCGTTGTCAGTACTTGCATGCCTTTTTTGATTCATTCATACATGTTATTTTTGTAATTTCACTAATTGCATGCTTTTTTGTTTAGCTCATTTGTTTTGTACTTTGTAATATTTTGGATTATTTATCGTTTTCAAATCTTTTGTTGCAATGTTTTTACATGCACTTTTATTACTTCCAACTTACTCAATGCATGTTTTTTGTAGTTTACTACTTGCATGCTTTTTTTGTTACTCTGATTTGTATTTACGATTAGTTCTAGTTTTCGGATCTCTTTTTGTTAGCATTTTTTCACTCACTTTTGATTACTTTTAATTTACTGCATGTTCTTTATTAATTGTTGATTTTACTAATTGCATGCCTTTTTTGATTCTTTGATCCATGTTTTTTGTAGTCCACTACTTGCACACTTTTTTTTGTTGACTTCACTTGCTATTGGTTGCTCTTTTTTGCTAGCACTGTTTTTGCATTTATTACATCTCTTGCTTCTAACTTATTGCATGCTTTTTTTTTATTTATGCATGCTTTTTGTTTATTTTATTTATTGCATGTTTTTTACTACTGCATCTTTATTCAACTTATCATTTCTGACATGTATTTAATTCACAATAAAATTTTTCATATTTTTGCATATTTCATACCTTTTTATTTTTTATTAAATAATCGTGTTTTATTAAACAATGTTATTAATTTTTTGTATCACTTTGCTAATTTGTTTTCTGCATGCAATTTAATTTTAGTTCTACTCAGTACATTTTGATGCCATTCAATTTGCAGGTCAAAGTTTTTAAACAAATTCTATCAAATGCTTAGAAGGTAAGCTTTTTTGACCATATTTCCAATCATATAAAAAACCAAAAAAAGCTCTGTTGATGAATTCTTCTTTTAAATCTTTGAATTTAAGGTCGTTTTTGCTGCAAGTGTAACTGAGATCTCGGTGAATAGTCGTGAGTTGTGGTGTCATCGATCGTAAATTCAGTGAACAGAATTCTTCTGACGCTTGGAATGGTGTCGAGCATTTCAAGGTTTGTCGACTTTTAGATTTTCCAACTTTTAGTGTTTCATTTTTTACGAAAAATTGGTTCTCTTTTATATGCTTCGAAATTATTTGTGATGGAAAACAATATTTTGGGTTCTACTCATCATTTTGGAAGAACTGGTCAAGCTGTCTCATTTCTGTTCAGCTTGAATAATTAAGTTAAAACAATTAATTATATCTTTTTGTAGCTTTAAATTATCGCGATAAAATGACTGAATTGGAAAGAGGTGATTATAGTACTCGAAAAGTATGTAACTGATTAAAAAAATTGTAAGTAGTTGATGACTTCCCAGCTTATTTCAGAATGTTTATTCCCAAAAAGTAAAGCCAGCAGTTTGTACTTTGTTTTAATAAGCTAGCACTTTATTTTAAGTGTATGTTACTTACAAGTATATGCGTATGCATATTTCTTTTACGCGTATTTATGCATATACGTTTAGCATTTGTATATATTTCTGATCTGCAAAAATTAGTTAAATAAAAACAAAAGACAAAAACGCATTTCGTTGGAAACTAAAAATTTGCCATTTTTTTTTCCCCCTTTTAATTTCAGTTCTTTTAAAATTTTCACTGTGTTTGGAGATTACGTATTGTCCATCAATTGCAGCGATCGATTCTTTACAATTTCAAACATTTATACTTCAATTTGTTGTTTCTTTAAGCAATTTGTAATGCAAAGATTGGTCTTTGCGTTTTTTTCTTTTTTTTTATTTTTAACAAAATATTTTGTTTTTAATCTGTTTAATTCACTTATGGCTAATATTGTTTAAAATTTAAATTTATCAATGATGAACTTATTTGGAAACAATGGACATTTTATTTTTTGAATGCCATAGATAAAATACAAAAGATAGGAAGTAAAAAAAAAATGATTGAAAGAACTAATTCATTCTATGTGACAGTTTCAGTTATGTCGGAAGATCCATATTACTTTTTTTTTTGGTGCACTAATAAATTTCAAATTGAAAATTATGATTTTAATCTCATTTAATGTTCATAACTTTTGCATCTATTCAATAGAGTTAAATAACTGTTTTTTCTTTCGATTCATTAATTCTTGCTATTAACTAATATTTCTCAAACTGAAACTTTGTTACATTGTTTTTTAAAGAATAAATAAGATTTCTGGTGGTATTAGTTAAAATAAATTTTTTAAAATATTAAGAACAAAATTTTCTTTTCGAACTTTTTTTTGAATTTTTACTGGTCTCATCTCCAGCAAAAATTAATTGTGATGTATAATATAATGTAATCATAGCTATTGGTGGATAATTTGAAATGAATTTTGACAAATTCGAATATTTTAACAAGTGTTAGACACATGATATAAAACAATAAAAAATTTTTACAATGATTTAAAATTAGTCATTTTTTAAATCAAAGAGAACCAAAAATAATTAATTGTTCTTTCTTTCTTAATAAAGAAAAATTGTTATCAGTTAAAAATTAAAAACAATCAATTCTTCAGCTGTATGCAATAAATTATTGAAAAGTGTGTGGTAAAATCAAAATTAACTATTTTACAGTTTATTAATCAAAGGAAAAATCTTCATCGGCAATTCCGTTTTTTTTTTTTTTTGTAAATATTGTATTTTTTTTTCTAAACTTGTGGAAAAGAAGAAGAAATGAAAATCCGATTGTCAGACCTTTGTGATTTATTAGCATATGATATACATGCGTATCCTAAACTAATAATTTTCTTTCAACGAAATATTTGGCTAAATTTTTGTATTACAAAAATTCTTGGCCAATTTTCTAGCAAGGAATTGTAGGCCTAAAATATTTCAATCTTTGTTTTATTTTTTTTAGTTTTTTAGCTTGCTCTATGCTGTCCAGGTTGGATTATTTTTATTTTTCAATTTCTCCCTTCTAAATTTCTGATTTTTGAATTTAATTATCAGTCTAGATTTTTCTTCTTTTTTTTTTTATTTTTTACGGACGAATAGTTTTCTTCCTTTTAATTTTCACTTTTTTCCGCTAATTTTTCTTTTTTTTTTCCTGATTTTCTTAATTTTTCTTGATTTGATGTTGGAACTAATTTTTAACAGTCCAATTTAATCATTTACTGCAATTTAAGTATAAGCATTATTTCATGGTGCCAAAGCATCAATTTCTTGAAATGCAGGAAAAATCAAAATTACAAACGATTAATTCACTGTAAACAGGTTAGTATCATTAAAAAAATATGTTTCTCGTACAAAAGGCTAGCATTTATCAACTGTAATTTAAATTATAATTATGGAAAATAAATAAAATTAGAGAAGAAAAGAATTTCTCGAAAATATCTGAATTATGCTAAATTCAAACGCAACTATTACTATTCAAAATATACATAACAGCAAAAAAGGATAGAACTATTTTACCCCACGGAATTTTTTTTTTTTTTTTAATGAAGACTCATTGCTATTAGAAAAGTTCACATAAAAATTTCAAAATATTTGAAATATATTTAAAAAAAAAAAAAAAACGTGACAGTTCTCAAAAAGCTATAGCACTTCTCTTTTTTTTGGAAGATAAATTTGATTTTAGTGAGATAGATTACATGTTATTTCTAATTCCATCTTAAATCATTTCAAAAAAAAAAGTTCCTCTTTCATATCTTCTAGTTTAATGTTCAAATTTTTTGACGATGAAATCTTGAAATTTGAAAATGCAGCATGATTGATTTTCCAAAAAAGAAAGCTTCGAGACATTCATTTGCTTTTTTTTGTTCGCTTTTATTCTTTTTGAGAGAAATAAAAATTTGAAACTCGTTTGCGGCGAAGTAATTTCAATTAATTAATAACTCTGATCATAGATGACGGATTTTTTTTTTAATTTATCAGCGATATTAATAAATTAATCAAAACTTGAATTTTGCACATTTTCTTCAGTTTGCATTAAAATTTTAATTTTTCAATCCAACTATCACAAACTTTTTTGAAGTATATTCTAGCACTTATAATTTCCATAATTATTTTCTAACAGTTTTAATTATATCCTTAAATTCTAATTATCAGCACCATTGACTCTTCCAGTAAATTACTGCATGATATTCAATGAAAATGAAAATTTTAATATTCAAATTTCTATGCTTTGTTCTCGGCGCTGCACATTTTTTCGTTTTTAAAAATATAAAAGAAAAAAAAAAGAGAAAAATAATGCATTTTCTATAGATGATAGAAATGAACTGAAAGGAATTTAAAACATTTTTTAATATCATCTTTTCATGAAAGATTAATAATTTTGATATAAATATTTATTCTGAAAAAAAATTCCTAAACTTTATAAATTAAAATTATAATATAAAATTAATCATTTATTTCTCTTTGAACGATATGGGAAAATGGAAGTAAAGGAGGTGAAAAAAAAAGGGATGATGGAAAGAGAGAGAGACAGAGAAAGAGAAGACGAAGAGATATTATATTATCTTTTTCAATTTAAATCAACAATTCCTTTTTTAAATAAACACATTTAGCAAAAATTATGACATAAAAAAATTTGTACGAAACAAACAAATAATTTTGTGTAATCTAAAAAATTTTAATCTAATGAGGTAGATAGACTTTGGAATAATTCAAATGAAAGAAGATAAAAATCGTAAAAATTTACAATTTGTAATAGATTTATAGAAGATGGAGGAAAATTTATAATTCTAATTTATAATAAATTATTGTTGAGGAAAAAAGAAGAGAAAAAATACTGAAATAAAAAATATTATACTTAAAAAAAAATAGCATTTTTTCTCTTTCACATGAAAAATAATAATTAAAATTTACTATTGAAATAATTGAAACATTAATATGTAAAATATTTCGATTAATTATTTTCAAATTAATTAGCTCATGAAATGTTGACTGATATTTTAAGAATATTCTTTCATAAATTTATTATGAAATTTATTGAATCGTTCCAACATATCATGCAATACATCTCCTTGCGGTAGTATTGTTGTCCTGAAATTGATATTAAAATTAAAAAACAGAAATTAAATTAGTTGAGACAGAAATCTCAAAACAAAAAAAAAAAATAATTTTTTGTAGTTAAAACTAAAAATTAAATAATCTGAAATATACATATGTTAATCAAACGAACAATTAATTTCATATATACGATTGTAAAACATAATCAGATCGATGAGTGAAAACAATTGAAATAAAATTTTGGTATTAATATATTACAAAATTACAATTAAGAGATTTAAAAAATAATTAAATAACTAGGGCAAATAACTCCATTCAAATATTAAAATTAAAAAATAATAATTAAATTGATTGGAATATAATGAATTGGAAATATCTGATCAATATTTAAAAATGTAACCTTTGAACTCTTTATTAAATATTGCATTAAATTATATTATTATATTAGCTATGAAATTTCTTTTTAAGTAAAAAATAAAATAAATGTTAATATTGTGAAGGAAGAAAAAAAAAACAAAAAATAAATGAACCGAAAATGATATGTTCCAGGTTTTTGTCCAAAACCACTTCCAGGTACCACACAAATACCACTATTTTCAAGTAATTCCATCGCATAGAAGAAATCGGCTTCCTGATTTAATGACTGCAAAATATCAAAGTACTAAATTAGTAAAATAACAAAGTAGTAAATTAGTAAGTAGATTTAAATCAAAATTTATGTATTACTTTGAAAGAAATAATTTTTTAGTGACTTTTTTTAGATATGCAAATTAGTAAATTAAACTAAGTAAATTTAAATCAAAATTTATCCATTACTTTGAAAAAATAATATTTTAGTATTTTTTTTTTTTAGATATGATAATTTAGAAAACAAATTATTAATTTTTAGCTATAAAGAGAAAAGGAAAAAAAAAATTTTTTTTCTAGTTTTGCTAATTTACTAATAATTGCATTCATTCGTTCAATTCAATGCAATATTTCATTTTATTTTATGGGAATTAAAAATTATAATAAATAAATTTCATTCAATTGGTGATAGTGTGATAGAAAAGTAATGATAAGAAAAAAACAAAAACAAAATTATCCCGAAAAACTTTAAAAAGTTGAAATTAAAATTTTTTTTAGAGCAAAATATTAATTCTTCATTGCTAACCTTAGCTTTATCAATTGCCTTTTGAGGCATTTCAATACGTGGAAATGCATACATTGACCCTTGAACTGGATTACATTCAATACCATCAATTGAATTATACGCTTCATACACTGCTCTTGCACGATCTTTTAATGAATCTAATATTGCTGTCTTCTCCTATAAAATTTCTTTTAAATATTTAAATTAAAAACAAAACAAAAAAAAATTATTATTGAAAATTTTAACCTAAATAATTTTGAAACGAAAAAAAAAAGAAAAAAAAAATTTTTATCAATTGATTAAAATTAAAGAGAACTAAAAGTAAATTCAAAATCTATGTATTTAAAAAAAAAAAAAAAAGGTAATTCATTAATGCTACCAATATTACATCCTTTTTTTTTTCCCTTTTTTTTAATTTAATTAAAAATTTTTACCTCTAACCATTGATCATATGATGGTTCACCTGGTTGTGGTGGTTTTACTACACAATCCATTGCACACTGAAAATTGAAAAAAAAGAAAAAAACAAATTAAAAAGGAAAAAAAAAAGAAGTTTAATAAAATTTAAAATTATACAAAATTATGAAGAATAAAATGGTTTATAATTTCATTATATAATAATATTATACTTGTCCAAGTACAGTTGAACAAAGTTTTGCTGAAGTCATTTTTTGTAAATGATTGAAAACTTCCGGATCAACGTTTACCACCTCAACGTAACCACCACGTATACCACATTCACCCATATAACCTTTGGAACATGAATGAAATGAACACAATTCAATCCTAAAAAAAAAAAAAAAAACAACAACAACAAAAAAAAAAAACAAACAATGAGAAAGAAAAAAGTTCAAATCGATTTTTTTTTTTAATTATTATTACAGGTTATTTAATTTAATACCTTAAACTATTAAATTTATAAATAATCTTACTGCGAATATGGTTCACCCATTGATTTCATTACTGATTTGAAACTATGAAATTTGAGATCCGTTTCATAAATATTATCTTGATATACCTGAAGAAGATATATAAACAGAAAATGATTAATTTAAAAAATTCAAACTTTAACAATCATGCGTTTTCTCCTAAGAGAAAAAGAAGAAAGAAACTATTTTATAAAAAAATTTAGGAAACTGAGAAAGTACAAAAGAAATATGTTAGTTAATTTAAAAATAGAATAAATAATGACTAAAAAAAGACAAAAAAAAAAACGAAATATTTTAATTTTCAATTTAAACATCAACTTGCTTCAATAATTTTTGATTAGTATGCGATTTTTTTTCCGTATATTTTATAACTAATAAGTTTAATCACTCATGAAAAAAAGAAAGAAAGAAATACTAGAATGTGCTCACTTCATCAGCTAATAGGAATAATTTATTCTTGTAAGCAAATTTGATAATTTCTTCCACATTATCTCTGGATAAAACTTGACCTGAAATTTAATTTCAACAAAAAATTTCAATCAAAAAGTGTTGGTATTTTCCTTTCCTAAACTAGAAATCTTTTCAAAATTTTTATTTAAAAAAATATCAAGTTAAAATGAAAAAAGTATTATATTTTGAGAAAACTCTTGAAAAAAAATGTTCATCATCTATTTGTTTACTTAATTTCATTATTTTATCGTTTTGTTTTGATTTATACAAATTTAAACTTTTCATTTAATTTATTCTTATAAGCAAATTTGATAATTTCCTTCTTTTTTTTTTAATAAAATAATGAAAATCTTTTTTTTTTTAAATATGAAGAATATAAATTTTTAATTATTTGTTTGCTTCTTCTTGATTTAACTGTGAATTATTAATTTACACATTCTTTTTTTCATATCTCTTCTTCCATATTAACAAAAGAAAAAAAATTTTTTTGAATTTACTAAGCAATCAATGAAAATTAGAAGTTTATTTTTAAAGATGAAAACAAACAATAAATTATGCATACCTGTTGGATTACCTGGATTAATAACACAAAGCACCCGAGTGTTAAATTCATTCAATGATTTCTTATAGGCATGCTCAAGTTCATCAATATTCAATGCCCAATTATTACTTTCATCCAAATAATAGCCTACCTTAGCATATTATATTTAAGATAAATCATTTCAATATAAATATTTAATAAATTAAAAAAGAAAAAAAAATTTTTTTCAATAATATTTAACTAAAATAATATTACTAAAATAAAATTAAAATAATATAATTTATGCAAATATTGATTACCTAATTATTTCATTCATTTATAATTTAAAATTTCTCACAAAACTAAACTAACCATTCCAAGACCAAATTCAACAATTGTTGCAGAATAGAGAGGATATTGTGGAATTGGTATCATTACAGCATTTTTTTTATTTCTACCATCTTTATCAATAAATAATTTTAAAATATTCTGAAATAAAATTTTAATAGTGGAAAAACAAAAAAGAAAAAGAAAAATTGGAAAGAAATAAAAAAAAGAAAATTAAATAAAAATTTAATTTTTAATTATTGCAATTATATGATTGAGGTACTAATTCATTCAAATAGCACAGTAAAAAATATGCAAAAATTATTAAAAAAAAAAAAAAAAATGAGGTAATTAAAAGTGATAAATATTATTTTGATTTAGTTTAAAAGGAAGAAATTTGTGTTTTTTTTTCCTAAATTTATAAATTTTTAATAAAAAAAAATGATCGTTTTTTTTTTTCCTTTTTATTTGCGAACATTTTAATAAATTTATTTTTACTTTTATTTTTCCAACATAGTAAAATGGATTAATTATCAGAAATTACATATATATTTTTATCTGAGAAATGAAATTTTTATAATATTACTGCTTTTTCTTTTTTTTTTTTTAATTTTATAAAAATTGAAATTCATACATACACGTATACTCTCTGAAGCACCAGCAGATAAAAGTATATGTTGAGGATCAGATGGAATACCATCATCTCGACGAGCAATATATTCTGCTACATGTTTTCTAATAATTTCAATACCACTACTATGGCTAAATATTTTTGAAAAATTAATTTAAAAATTTTCCAATAATTTCAAATTAGAAAATTTAAAAAAAAAAAAGATGCACATTAAAAATTATGAAAAATGGAAATAAAAATAATATTAAATAAAATTATAAATACAATACACAATAAAAAGAATACATAATAAAAATTATAAATGAACAAAAAAAGGATTAAATAAAGAATTTAACTTTTAGCTATTACAATAATTCGATTAAGAAATACTTAAGAAATTAAGAAATACTTATTTAAATAGCATAATGAAAAAAAAAAAAAAAATTAATCACATTTCAATGTTTATTCGAACATTCTAAATGATAATTAATAATTTGTTTAACAATATTACACAAATTCTTTATTTTTTATCTATTACTAAAACATATTTTTGATCATTTTAAATTGATCATTTAAATTTTAATATCTCATTAAAGCAAATAATTTGATTATTTTAAATAATAATAATATAATTTGTGAAATATTTTTGATGCATTAAATTTGCATTGATCTCATAAATATAATTAAACAACTTTTTTAATTTAAAAGAATTTAACAAAAAATTTAAATTTAAAATTAAATTTACCTGTACGAGCCAACACTATGTCCACCACAACCACTGAGTAATAATTCTGCTCGTTGCCTAACATCTGATGGATATTTTACGGAATTTATTAATGATGGATCACTTACACATGCCAAAACCTATATTTTAATTATTATTTAAAATGTTTAATATCAAAGTTTTTTTTTTTTTTTCTTGAAACATTTAAATAATAAATGCTATATTTACTTTTATTTATTCAGTCATTTTTTTTTTCAAAATTATCAAAAATTACCTATCAATAAATAAAATTTTTATACCTGTCGAATAAAACTAATTGGTTTTTGACCCATTGCATGAGCATCACCAATATTTGCTTTGATAACATTATTAAATGATTTCTTTATTCCCTAAAATTAAATAATAATTTTGTTATTTTATATTGTATATAAAATAATTTGTTAAAAAATTTCATTGAAATAAATGGAAATTTTCGTTTTTTTTTTTAAAAATTAAAATTTCTTCTAACAAAATCATTTGCTCATTATTTTACATTGAAAAAGAAAAAAAAGCTAGGAAATGCCATCGAAATAACAATATAATTACTGGAAATAAATTGATTAGAAAAAAAAAAGAAAAGAAAAGAATGTAATGTCATTAATTTTAATGAAAAATAAGATTTAGAACTATGCTATGTAATTTGAAACATGTTAAATTGAATGAAAAAAAAAATAAATTTTCATTTCTTTATTTTATATTAAATAAATAATTTTTCTATTCAAATAGTATTCAATTTCTCGATCTATTTAAGAAAGATAATGTAATTATTAAAAGATATTATCGAACTTATTAAAAGATTAAATCATTAAAAAAATGAAATTACTAAAAAATTACAAAAAAAAATTATTAAAAGATACATTTAATTCAAATTTGTTTAATATAAATTAATGAATGCAAAGAAATGAGTTATTTTTTTAAAATTAAATCAATCAATAAATGAATGCAAAAGAAAAAAAACATTAAAATATGAAAAAATAAAAGAGAAATTCTCAAACTAAAAGAAAGTTAAGATGATTTATTTGAATGTAAACATCTTCTATTATAAACTTTACAAATATTTATTAACAATGAAGTAAAACTAAAATTAAACTTTTAATTTAATTTGTGCGTTTACTTTTTTATTACTTAAAAAATGACATACACACACAAATACAAATGAAAAAAAAATTAATTTAATTAAATTTGTTTTTTCTACCGATTAATTTTAAAAGTTAATTTTAAATTAGCATTTAATTTATTTAAAAATTTTACCTTATTCAATTCTTTTTCAATAGCCAAAGCACGAATAACCAATGGACCACGTACAGCATATTCCATCGCAATAACATTTGGATTTAAATTTTGCAATGTAAGAATATGATTTGATGATGTCATTCGATGAATTTGTTGATGATAATGATGACGATGACAATATTGTTGTAAGGGAAATGTTACAGATTGTAATAATAATGATGATAATGATGGTGATAATAGTAATGATGATGATGATGATGATGTAATAATACAATTTGTTACATCAAATATTTTTCGAGTAAAAATAGTACTCATTCTGAAATATATTAATTTAAAAAAAAAAAATTTTATACTTTCATATACATATATAATTTTGATCGCATATTTATTTATTTATATTTAAATATTAGAAAGAATTAATATAATAAAAATAAATTTATTAATAAAAGAAAAAAATTAATATTTAAAAGTAATTTTATAATTAATAAATAATAGTAAATAATATATATTTAAACATTTTAATAAAAGATTAATATAAATATAAATTTAATTCCTAGTTTTCCTGTTTTTTTTTTCTGTTGATAATTTACTATCTATTATTAACATATTTATATTATTTACAAAATTTACATTTATTTTGTTTTAACAAACAATAAACAAATAATTTAACAAAATTACTCCAACAATAATTTCTATGCTACGTTCAATTACTCCAACAATAATTTCTATGCTACATTCAATTACTCCAACAATAATTTCTATGCTACGTTCAATTGTTTAACAATCAACAATAAATAATGTTACTAGTGAAATGAAAATTTTAAACAAAAAAATTTCTTTTTAGTATATAAATATTTACATATATATGTTTAAAGTTACAAATAATACAAATAAAAATTGTGTAACAAAAGTGTAAATTTAACAAAAGTTTTTGACAAGAAAAAAACACAAACAAATGCACAAAGAAAGGTAATCAATCAATTTTTAGGATTAAAAATCGACTGATAAATTTGTTTAAATTTAAATTATTGACAATCATTTTTTTCAGCAATATTATTATACATTTTACTGAACCGAAAAAAGTAGTGAAAAAAAGAAAGAAGCATAACCGGATTTATATTCATGAAAAAAAAAGAAAAGCATAGCCGGATTTATATCCATGAAAAAAAAGAAAAGCATAACCGGATTTATATCCATGAAAAAAAAAGAAAGAAGCATAGCCGGATTTATATCCATGAAAAAAAAAGAAAGAAGCATAACCGGATTTATATCCATAAAAAAAAAGAAAAGCATAACCGGATTTATATCCATGAAAAAAAAGAAAAGCATAACCGGATTTATATCCATAAAAAAAAAGAAAAGCATAACCGGATTTATATCCATGAAAAAAAGAAAGAAGCATAGCCGGATTTATATCCATGAAAAAAAAGAAAAGCATAACCGGATTTATATCCATGAAAAAAAAAAAGCATAACCGGATTTATATCCATAAAAAAAAAGAAAAGCATAACCGGATTTATATCCATGAAAAAAAAAGAAAGAAGCATAGCCGGATTTATATCCATGAAAAAAAAAGAAAAGCATAACCGGATTTATATCCATGAAAAAAAAAGAAAGAAGCATAGCCGGATTTATATCCATGAAAAAAAAAAAAGAAAGCATAACCGGATTTATATCCATGAAAAAAAAAAAGCATAACCGGATTTATATCCATGAAAAAAAAAAAGCATAACCGGATTTATATCCATGAAAAAAAAAAGCATAACCGGATTTATATCCATGAAAAAAAAAAAGAAGCAAGCATATTTATATCCATGAAAAAAAGAAAAGCATAACCGGATTTATATCCATGAAAAAAAAAAGCATAACCGGATTTATATCCACGAAAAAAAAAAAGCATAACCGGATTTATATCCATGAAAAAAAAAGCATAACCGGATTTATATCCATGAAAAAAAAAAGAAAAGCATAACCGGATTTATATCCGTGAAAAAAAAAAAACGGAATAACTAATTTGCCAAATTAAAATTATTAATAGTAATTTAAGAAATGCTATATTTTACATTTTCATTAGCATATCAAAAATTTAAAAAAAGTAAAAAAAAAAGAAGCTAAGAGAGAAAAGTAAAGATAGAGAGAGAGAGAGAAATGTTGCCATTTATCGATCGGTGACAACCAACCTACACGAAATGATTCTAATCACATAAACTCTGCAATTGCCTATGTGTATATCCATCTGCTTGCTGTACAGCTGTGACAATATGCATTATTTATTTGCACAGTAATTCATTTACTCCAACAATAATACATCTCTCTCTGTGTCTTTATATATGTATGTACATGTTTATTATATGCGTAAAATAGCTATAACAATAGGGATAATTTACATTGATTGATTTATTCCAACACAGGAGATATATAACTACATGTTTATTGTTTGCATAAAGTAGCTCTAACAATAAGGATAATTTGTACTGATTAATTTATTCCAACAGAGAAGATATCTGTGTGCTTATGTATGTTTATATGTCTGTGTAACTGTGCATGTATTTATTGTACACGAAAAACAATAAGAATTATCTGCACTAGTTGACTTGTTCTAGTAATAATGTTTTTATGTATGTGTATGTCTATGCACGTGTGTATGTGGTGTATGTGTTTATTGTATGCGTATAATAACTGGTAATTCAATAAAGATCGTCTACTATAAGTTAGGTAAACAAGGAATATTTGTGTGTGCTTATTGTATATGTAAAACAACTACAACAATAAGGAAAATATGTACTATATCATAATTAAATTATGAAAACTCCTTAGAATAATAATTAAAAAAAAACGCTAATTGTTTTCTTTTTTTTTTGTTTCTGAAAGAGAAAAGAAAAGAAACTTTTGATAAGAAATTGATTAAAAGCTTTCCCTAAATAAATGTAATATATAAACTAGAATGTATGAAATTTAACTTAAAAAGAAAGGACCAATCATATTCGAATGGAAAAATATTTTTCACTTCTTTATTCTATGAGAAAAAGAAATAAAGAAGAAATTGAATCGAAAAACAAAAAGAAAGATGATGAGAGGAAAGGAGAGAAAGGTAACATCAGAAATTGAAAAACAGAAAAGGAAAGAATATATTGGAAATCGAGAATAGGAAAAAGAACATCATATTGGAAATCGAGAACGGGAAAAGGAACATCATATTGGAAATCGAGAACGGGAAAAGGAACATCATATTGGAAATCGAGAACGGGAAAAGGAACATCATATTGGAAATCGAGAACGGGAAAAGGAACATCATATTGGAAATCGAGAACGGGAAAAGGAACATCATATTGGAAATCGAGAACGGGAAAAGGAACATCATATTGGAAATCGAGAACGGGAAAAGGAACATCATATTGGAAATCGAGAACGGGAAAAGGAACATCATATTGGAAATCGAGAACGGGAAAAGGAACATCATATTGGAAATCGAGAACGGGAAAAAAAACATCATATTGGAAATCGAGAACGGGAAAAGGAACATCATATTGGAAATCGAGAACGGGAAAAGGAACATCATATTGGAAATCGAGAACGGGAAAAGGAACATCATATTGGAAATCGAGAACGGGAAAAGGAACATCATATTGGAAATCGAGAACGGGAAAAGGAACATCATATTGGAAATCGAGAACGGGAAAAAAAACATCATATTGGAAATCGAGAACGGGAAAAGGAACATCATATTGGAAATCGAGAACGGGAAAAAAAACATCATATTGGAAATCGAGAACGGGAAAAAAAACATCATATTGGAAATCGAGAACGGGAAAAAAAACATCATATTGGAAATCGAGAACGGGAAAAGGAACATCATATTGGAAATCGAGAACGGGAAAAAAACATCATATTGGAAATCGAAAATGGAAAAAGAACATCATATTAGAAATCGAGAATGGGAAAAGAGGGAGAGAGAGAGAGAGGAAGATTGCATTAGGTATAATGAAAATTGAAGAAAATAGAGGGGAAGGGAACCTTATATTGGAAATCGAAAAAAAGAAAAAGAATGAATATACTGGAAATTGAAAAAAAAAGAGCGGGAAAGAAAGAATATATTAAAAATTGAAAGAAAAAGGAAGGAAAAAGTAATATCGAAAATCGAAGTCGATTACTGCAAAATGTTTTCCCATTATGTATTAACAAAAATAGAAAGAAGAAAGCCATTCTTCTGCTGAATGCTTATAAAAATAAAGTAAAGTAATTTTTTTTTCTTTTCATCTACAAATTTTAATTTTTAAGAATATTTTAAAATGTTCAATTTAAAAAATATTAGAGTTAAATAAGTTAAAATTTCCTTTTTTTTTTTTTTTTTTGAGCAATAATTTTAAATAGAAAATTATTAGAGCAAAACTAAGTGAAAAAGAAAGCTGATGATGACGATGAAATTTGAGATTTAACATTCAATCAATATTGCTTAACAGATCGATCTTTGACCTTAGCAATTTCACTTCTTTCTATTAAATCGTTAACAACAAAATATGATGCAAAACAAGAAGCTCACGTATTCACGTAATATTTAGACATATGATAAGCTCACGTATTCACGTAATATTTAGACATATGATAAGCTCACGTATTCACGTAATATTTAGACATATGATAAGCTCACGTATTCACGTAATATTTAGACATATGATAAGCTCACGTATTCACGTAATATTTAGACATATGATAAGCTCACGTATTCACGTAATGTTTAGACATATGATAAGCTCACGTATTCACGTAATATTTAGACATATGATAAGCTCACGTATTCACGTAATATTTAGACATACGATAAGCTCACGTATTCAAGTGATATTTAGACATACGATAAGCTCACGTATTCACGTAATATTTAGACATACGTGTTTAATAGTTATTCAGATTTTTAATTATTTAAACTATTATTTTAAAATTTAAATTTTTATTCGAATTATATCAATTCTTTTTTTCTTATTTTTTTTGATAGTATTAGTTCTAATTGTTGTCATTTCAAAAGCATAATGAATTAGCAATAAATGAATGAAGTAAAAAAAAATATTTTTTCGATTTTAATAAAAATTTTTTCATTTTTTCTTCTAGAATTTTGATATTAAAAAAAAAAGAAAATGAATAGCAATTTAATTTTATATTAAAAACAATACGACAAAAATCGATTCAGATATGTTAGAAATGAATTATAATTAAAATATATATCAAATCAGATTTATTTATTACTATTTTATAATTTCTCATTTCATTTAATGCTCATTTTATTTAATCCAAGTTTTTCCGTTTTTCCGTTTTTTTTT